TTATTTTATGCAGATGATACAATACAGTAACTAATTGCTGAATCTGACCATGGCTTACAATGAAAGGTTGGATAATTTTCAGAGTATTGTAAACATTTTTTAATTTTAATATCATATTGCTTTCAAAGCTAAAACGTAGGACAGCGGTTAACACATCCTAGCTAAGATAATCCTAAATTGGCTTCGATGTGCATGTCGTAAGTCGATCTTTAATTTGAAGGTGAAATTTGAAATCACTTGTCATTTCAGCAGTTGAAATAACTTCAAAATGTGTGATCCGATATTTTACTAATATTGCAAGTTATATAGACCTTGCCTTTAGCTTTTACTGCTTTACTATTTTAAATATAGACTATGTGATGCATTTGTATCCACAGCGGCCATGTTGATTACTCAAGTCAATGTTCAATGTTCAAAAGCTTTATTTATAGACGAAAATCAGTATACAGAAAACATAAGCTCTATTGAGCTTTTATATCGTCTTCTTAAAAACAAACCATTTAAAACAAGCACGTTTAAAACAAAGCAAACATACAACACACAACAGAGCTACACGATCAAAGCAAATCATTACACTGAAGCATACATATACAACATAAAAGACATGAAGAAGTTAAAATATGTTATACTATGCAGAAATATTAAAAGCCACTAAAGCACTTTAAAACACATAAGCAGTTATTGCACATTAAGCAGAAAAGCACTATAAATAAAGCATTATTTATTTGCAAGCATTGTATTGGCATGAACTACCATTCCATGTAACAATAAATTTAGAAAATTGGTTAAAATGTCCACGAATATAACTTTCAAACCAGATACCTTAAGGAGCATTCAGGTACAGATTTGTCACATTTAACCAAATCGTTTCAGACGAGAAGGTTTTTTTTTTTGCTTCAGGTCTACGACGATGGGCGATAATGACGAAAGTCAATTGACACCAATAGATCAAATGGCCTCTTGGATCAGGTGACGATCCCCGTTTTAATTAACTACAGCAGAAGATCATGAGACATGTACGAGTCCATTTGAATATGTTTTCGACCTTCACCTTTCCCTCAAACAATTTTATGGTTATACCTTCATTTTACCAATAACATGTTTCAAAGAAATCCGATTCTAGCTGTTGACACGTATTACATGCGGAATCAAGAAGTTGAAATTCGAATGTATGATTAGAAAAAAAAAGGATTACACAACGAAGTTAGCATTTTTGCTACGGAAAAGAGATCCAGGGTACTAAAGTTTATTTCATTGCCTAAGGTTTTGTATCGGGAAAGACATTTTTTCTAAACTGCCCCCCCCCCCTTTTTTAAAAATGACACAACGTTCATTTTTATAGTCATTACGATTTCAGCGCTCCATTTTACTTCGAGCCGTATATTAAGGCTGCATAATCTAATTTATTTTTAGACACACCTTTTTAAGGATTACATTTCCACTTTATACTCATATATTCATAAAAAAAAGAACACAGTACCAGGACATTTTTCTCATCACAAGCACATTGTCAGGACAATTTTTGTTTGCACAACTTTTACAATTAGAAATTATTGTAACAAACCTAGCGAGGTTCGTATAACAAATTGCTGAACACACCCAACTGCACCAATCAGAACCAAATCACGGACAAATAGAATGTATATATAGTGCATGAAATAATATTTCTTGAGGAATATCGCATTCATTGATATTTACTCCAACGTTCTTAACAAAAAAGATAATCGCTGTTTGATTTAAGGAAAGAGTTTAAATTGAAATAATATGATTAAACAGTAAATAGATGAGGTTTTTCTGCTACGGTATTTTTAAAGGCAGTGTATTTAATCTTTGTAGACAATATGATATGTTCTCCCAAGAAATTTTTGCAGGGGCAAACATTTGTACCGTGTAATCTTTCTTTTTTATGTGAACTATTGTGACATGAAAAAATCCTTCAGAAATACAATATGTATTTCATCGCTTCGTGACAGGCTAGGTGTTTAATTAGGTACACTATTTATATATATCATATAATATAATAATAATATATTCACTTTACACACACATAAAACACAATGATCATGTAAGTGTCACAGTCCATTTATAGAGTTAAAATTCAATCATAAATATCAGTTTACTTTACGTTTTTTTCACATTAAACGACTTTCATTCAGAAAAAATCAGTTGAAAAAGACTTAACTCATCAGATTGATACATAGCAGAAAACAAGTAACAAAAATAAAAACACAGATTGGACGTGGCAGGGTATTTATACATCCTTACAAAAAAAAAAGACACTAAGTACAGATCAGAGAGTACACGCAATTATATTACTTAAATACCATCATGCATATTTAAGCTAAACAACCATTTTTATTAAAGAAGTTATGTCTACATAATTGATGAAAAGTAGTGAATTCCTATTGACACTTTGAGAAAGATAGAATCTTGGAAATGAGTAGTATTTGTCTTGAAAGTTGAGACATGTCACTTAAGAATCCCCCCCCCCCAAAAAAAAGTTGTTTTAATATAAAAAAAAGATGTGGTATTATTGTCAATAAGACAACTCTCCACCATAGGCCAAACGACAAAGAAGATTACAGCACTATATGTCACTGTACAGCCGTCAACAATGAGCATAAACAATACCACAATGAAAATGACAAAATGTAAAACAATTCAAATGAGAAAACATACGGTCTGATTTATGTACAAAACAATGAACGAAAAACAATTATGATATTCATGTACAGCAACAAGCTACAACCTGACATGGCTTTGAATATCTTATCAAGATGATGTTATGCTAACCAGTAATTTTTTCACTACTGCATTGCAATTTTAATTTAGATTTATGGTCAAAGTAAATGTGAAGAAATTAAAATTATCTCCCCTACATGCATTGTCTTTTTTTATTTCACCTACGTACATGTATGCACCCATTTTGAACTATGAATTTATATGATTTACTCTGAAATATCTATCTGAATATGTAATTAATCTAATACAATGCATTTCTATAGATTGCTGACATTTCAGAGCTTCACACATTTAATAGACATTTGTCTATTGTTGAAGATACAATTTTAGTTTGTTGCCCTCTACATATTGTTTGGTTATTCTGCATTGCAATTGGCTAAAGGAATCAAATTAAAAGTTGTACTTTCAGAAATGTATGAAATGTTTATTATTGTTTAAACTGTGACTCATAGATTTCACAAAAATATAATATCGAATTTTAAATTTTGATTATTTATTTTCAACTTTTCCATTAGCCTCTATCAAAAATTTCATATTTTTGTCAACAGTCCAGTAATTACAATATTCAAGCAAGCAACCATTTCTAAATTTATCAGTTGTCAAGTCTTGTTTGATCTGATATAGAAAATTAAATCAAAGTAATGATCAGTCCAAGGTTAACTTAAACATTCTAAACAATCATAAGAAGTAAAGATAACAAAAAACATTAAGGATGTTTTTATCTCTCCAATAATTTCCATAATTTCCATATTGTTATAACAAGAGTGTACACGCTGACATGTCTCGCCTACTAAACTGACCACTGATTTTATGTTGATAGTCCTACATATAAAGTTTTACTACAAGTATCACATTAACATTTATGATCCAAGAAAATGAGGTCAAGGTCAGATAAACCTAGCCTGAAATACATGTACACCTTTAATACAATCATTCCATACACAGAATATAGATGACCTATTGCTTATAGTATAAATGAAACAGACCAAACCATGGAAATTCTATTCTGACCAATGAACCATGAAAATGAAGTCAAGGTCAGATGAACCCTGCCAGACAGACATGTAAACCTTAAAATCATTTCATGCATCAAATATAGTTGACATATTGCTTAAAGTATCTAAGAAACAAAGTTAACCAGGAAAACTGAACATTGACCAATCAACCATAAAAATGAGGTGAAGGTCAGATGATACCTGCCAGACAGACATATACAACTTACAATCATTTCATACACCAAATATAGTTGACCTATTGCTTAAGTTTAAGAAAAACAGACCAAAACACAAAAACTTAACATTGAGCAATGAACCGTGAAAGTGAGGTCAAGGTCAAATAAAACCTGCCAGACTGACATGTTCATCGTAAAATATTTCCATACACCAAATATAGTTCACCTACTGCATACAGTAATAGAAAAACAGACCAAAACACAAAAACTTAACATTGAGCAATGAACTATGAAAATGAAATCAAGGTCAAATAAAACCTGCCAGATTGACATGTACATCATAAAATATTTCCATACAACAAATATAGTTGACCTACTGCATACAGTATTAGAAAAACAGACCAAAACACAAAAACTAAACTTTAACCACTGAACCATGAAAATGAGGTTAAGGTCAGATGACACCTGCCAGCTGGACATGTACACCTTACAATCATTACATACACCAAATATAGTAGACCTATTGCTTATAGTATCTGAGATGTGGACTTGACCACGAAAACTTAACCTTGTTCACTGATTCATGAAATGAGGTCGAGGTCAAGTGAAAACTGTCTGACAGGCATGAGGACCATGCAAGGTATTCACATACCAAATATAGTTATCCTATTACTCATAATAAGTGAGAAATTAACATTACAAAAAATCTTAACTTTTTTTTCAAGTAGTCACTGAACCATGAAAATAAGGTCAAGGATAGTGGACATATGACAGACGGAAACTTCATATCATAAGGCATTTAAATACAACGTATGAAGCATCCAGGTCTTCTACCTTCTGAAATATTAAGCTTTTAAGAAGTTAGTTAACACCGCCGCCGCTGGATCACTATCCCTATGTCGAGCTTTCTGCAACAAAAGTCGCAGGCTCGACAAAAATGTAAACACAACAATTGTTTGATTAATGATATATAACAGTAGCATACATCATGTACATGTACAACTAAAACATTTTATAAGGATGTCAAATCTATGTTTAGGAATGTGATTTTGAAAGGCAAAAAATGACAAATAAGACAAAAGAAATCTTCACATATGTTAATCGTTTTAATGAAATTAGAACAATTCTAACACATAAGATCACTTGAATACAATTTAAACATTATAAATGAAAAGACACAGAAATATCAGAACATTAAAATGTTATCCATGATTTTGTTAAATCCTATATAACAGATGAGTAATTCTAAATACATTTGTATGGCACATTAACATCTAAGTAGCACTTATCATAAATGAAAAGTTGGAAATACATGTGTTAAAATTTTGCAAAAACACATGGGCAAATAGATAAATCTAATGTTTGTCAATAAAATTGGAAATGGAAACTGGAATGTGTCAAAGAGACCACAACCGGACAAAAGAGCAGTAAACAGATTAAGGTCACCAATGGGTCTTCAACACAGCAAGAAAATACCACACCTGGAGGTAGGCTGCAGCTGGACCGTAAACAAAAAAGTGTACTAGATCAGTGAAAAGTGGATAATTTCTATTTGGAGATATTTTCAGTTATAATCTTTGCATTGGTGCATAAAAACATGTCTGGAAATTTTTTTGTTTTCATTATTCATCACTCATCACTTATTCTACTCAAGGAATAGATTACCTTAGCTGTATTTGGCAAAACCTTTCAGAATTTCGGGTCTTCATTGCTCTTCAATTTCATGCTTTATTTGACTTTTTTTTTACTTTTTTGATTCAAGCGTCACTGATGACTCTTTTGTAGACAAAACACACATCAGGGATACAAAATTTTAACCCTGGTATCTATGATGAGTTGATTTGGAATTCTATATTCATTATACAACACGACAGGTGCCACATGTGGAGCAGGATCTGCTTACCCTTCCGGAGCACCTGAGATCACCCCGTGTTTTTGGTGGGGTTCCTGTTGCTAAGTCTTTAGTTTTCTATGTTGTATCATCTGTATTATTATTTGTCTGTTTGTCTTTTTATTTTTGGCCATGGCGTTGTCAGTTTGTGTTCGATCTATGAGTTCGACTGTCCCTCTGGTATCTTTCGTCCCTCTTTTGTTCTTCTTATGAATTTCAGAACTGTGCAAAATTAATTGCAATAGAATACATTATCATTCATTTTAAATCAAAATTCAATTTTTAAGGCAATTTGGACACACAGTAATTAAGAACTGTACATACAAAATCAGACAACTTATTCATTCAATAATTTCGGAGTATTAAATTTGAATTATATCCTTGTCTTCATCTTTGTCAGCTTGATAAGTTCTCCATCAAAGAATCTGCCTGCTTCAACTCTGATAAAAAAAAATATTATAATTATATTTAAATTATGGAGACAGCATCCTCACAACACAAATAACTTCAATATTTTTTTTACAGGAATAATAATTTGAACTATATAATTCAATATTTATTAACATATCATTATATTTTTTCGCCTAGTTTAAAAGAAATTACATGGATGGTTATGATTAACCAACCTAACTATATTTCATTGATTCGCTAGCTAATTCAATATAGTTTTACGGTCAAATTAAATCTTAATAAACTGCTTCGCTGAGCGCAGCTGGATACGCCCGCAGAGGTCCAACCCTGAACAGTTGGGGCAAAAATGGACACAATATTCAAGCTTGATACCAGTCTGAATTTGGATTGTAATTAAATATTTGACATATTATAGGTTTCTGAATAAATGAAGTCAAAGAACTTGAAATTGGTTATATGAATTGAATTTATACTCAATTAAAGATTTCTTGCTGTTGTGCAAGACACTGTGCTGTTGCGCAATACTTAGTAAATCTGTTGCCAGACTATAAACAAACAATAACTTCTCAATGTTATATCAGAAATTTATAAAAAACTAAAGGGAGGTTATCTTAATAGATATAAATCAGTCATCAAAGTTTAATGAAAACTGCTCTAAGCACTTTAAGGATATTGTCCAAAAACTTGAAAATCGACCCTTTTTTTTATGAATAAAATCTTATAACTTGGAAACGTAAAATCTTAAATTTATAAAAATCAAAAGGGAGCTTACAACAATAGATATAAACAATTTACCAAAGTTTCATAAAAAATGCTGAAAGCAATTTTGAGTTATTGTCCCAAAACTGGAAAATCCCCCTTTTTGTAATGAATAAAACCCCATAAATCGGAAACGTATAATCTAAAATTTATAAAAATCAAAAGGGAGCTCATGTCGATAGAAATAAACAATCCACCAAAGTTTCTTGCAAATTGGTGAAATTGTTTTTGAGTTATTGTCCACAAACTGGAAAATCCCCCCTTTTTTAATGAATAAAACCCCAAAACTCGGAAACGGTAAATCCGAAATTTATAAAAAACGAAAGGGAGCTCACTTCAATAGATATAAACAATTCACCAAAGTTTCATGCATATTGGTTAAAGCGTTTTTGAGTTAATGTCCGACATGTTGACGACGGACGGACGGACTGACGGACGGACGGACAGACGGACAGACAGACGGACAACGGTATACCATAATACGTCCGTAAACGGGCGTATAAAAATTAAATTTATCCCCCTTACATGCATTGTCTTTTTTCTCAACATTTTTATTTTATCTACACCCATTTTAAACTAATATAATTTTATGATACATAAAATCCTGATTTTTGATGGGATTGATGAGGCTCAACCTTTAGTAATGTTTGTTTTTTTTCCTCTTTTTGCCACAGTGCTGTCTTGTCTTTCTTCGACATTTGGTAGTTGATTGCGCCCTTGATAACTTCCCCCTTTTCTGTCAAATATCATGAATATACATATCAATCTTATTAGTCAAAGTTAGTCAAATGTGCAGATACAAGATTCCAGTCAAATATTACCTCAGGTGAAGATTTTCATAGTGACTGATGATAAATTTATGTGATTTACTCTGAAATATCTGACTGTTAATGAAATATATCTAATACAATACATTTCTATAGATTGCTGACAATTCAGGTTCTTCACACATTAAATAGACAGACAGACAGTTGTATATTGTTGAAGATACAATTTTAGTTTGTTACCCTCTACATATTGTTTGGTTAATCTTGTGGTTGGGATGCTGTCTCATGACATAAACAAAATAAGGAGATGTGGTATGATTGTCAATGAGACTATCCACCAATTTGAAGTTCAAAAGAAGTGGATGCAAGCAATTATATGCAACAGTACAGCCTTTAACTATGAGAAAAAACCCATACCAAATAGTCAGCTATTAAATGCCCAGAAATATATATATGTATCCATTTCCCTCTTCATGCACAAAGTGATTCTGTTAAAAACTATCTGTTTGTTGTAGAGTGAATCCTAGTAAAATAGGGTGATTGCTGGTGAATTAGAGTGAAAACACTTTTTTCAGGGTGAATATCCACAATCAGTGGGAAAACAGATGACATGAGAATGATAGAAAAGTGACTCTCCTTACAATAAAGGCGACAAAATCAATAGTTTGTTTACATTGGTAACCATACTATATTTACATTGGTAACCATACTGATTAAAAGTAATTTCTAAACCACAATCCTATATTATTTGAAATTTAAAAAATGTTTATCTTTGCTGCATATCAAAATACAAATCGGAAAAAAATCAAGAACATGCAAAATCTTATACTCTTTCCAGTCTGCCATCAATTTTTGGAGGGTTCCATATGCATGTAGTCCTAAGCTTGATACAATTTTCCACAATTAGATTTTCGAACACACCAATCTGCTCATTGTCACACTAACTTTCAATATAATAATATCATCACTCTTGTAATTTCAATCATGTGATAAACTTTCAGCAGCACATTTAAATTCAGTGTAAATTTCCCTTCAGTGACCTACTTTCAGATATTTAGGTCAGGCAGAAAACATTGTTGGCAGGAGTGTGGTTTTAGGAGGCAAATAAGAGAACACAGGAATACCATCATTAAAGTGTAACTTACCATTTAACAAAATCCTGAATTTATCAGCTGTGACAGTAAACGTGACTGGTTTGACATTATCTGTATTTGGATCCTTGACCTTTAACCTCAGCTGAACACACGGTTCATCAATATTCTTCAAGTGACTGGAACTTAATATGTAGTCTACTCTCCATTCAACAGAGTCTAACTGTGACACTGAAATAGAATTAATCACATTACAAATAAACCTATATTATTTTGACCATGGGCCTTGGTGGCCGATTGGTCTAAGTATTCCAACCACTGTACCACTAGCCAGTCAACATTGCGGTTGTGAGTTTGAATCCTGCATGGGGCAGGTGCACTCAACTCAAATCTTAATTGACTAGGAATGTCATTTTTACTCCTGAAGGTCCTTGGTTCTCTCCAGGCACTTCGGCTTTCTCCACTAATAAAAACTGACCACCACAAAATAGCACAATAGTGTTGAAAGTTGTGTTAAACACCAATAAATTGATCAATCTTTTGACCATGCTTCAAATTTAAGTAACTTTGCATAATTTTCATCTCAGTACAATATTTTATTTAACAGATGGTAAATTAATTGAGGGACCTTATATAATTGTGGGTACGTATACTTGGACTGGTATTCTGTAACTGGGATCCTGTTCTAATTCTCTCTTTGTTTTAAGGTGACGTGGTATGAATGCCAATGTCAGAGACATCTATCCACAGGAAACCAAAGGATGTAAACAATTTAAGGCACTAATGGCACTACTACTTGTATACCACCTTAAATAATGTGCAAAACCCATAGCCTTAAATAATGTGCAAAACCCATAGCCTTAAATAATGTGCAAAACCCATAGCCTTAAATAATGTGCAAAACCCATAGCCTTAAATAATGTGCAAAACCCATAGCCTTAAATAATGTGCAAAACCCATAGCCTTAGATAATGAGCAAAACCCATAGCCTTAAATAATGTGCAAAACCCATAGCCTTAGATAATGAGCAAAACCCATAACCTTAAATAATGTGCAAAACCCATAGCCTAAAATAATGTGCAAAACCCATAGCCTTAAATAATGTGCAAAACCCATAGCCTTAAAAAATGTGCAAAACCCATAGCCTTAAATAATGTGCAAAACCCATAGCCTTAGATAATGAGCAAAACCCATGGCTTTAAATAATGTGCAAAACCCATAGCCTTAGATAATGAGCAAAACCCATAGCCTTATATAATGTGCCAAACCCATAGCCTTAAATAATGTGCAAAACCCATAGCCTTAAATAATGTGCAAAACCCATAGCCTTATATAATGAGTAAAACCCATAGCCTTAGATAATTTGCAAAACCCATAGCCTTAAATAATGTGCAAAACCCATAGCCTTAAATAATGAGCAAAACCCATAGCCTTAAATAATGTGCAAAACCCATAGCCTTAAATAATGAGCAAAACCCATATTGTAAGCTATGCAGCCTCTTTTCACTCTTAAATTTTGGAATTAAAACAGACAGCAAATATTATACACAAATAACGTATTCATATTTTCAGTAGTCTGTAAATTCAGAAATTAATGCATCTTTATTATTGTGCATCACTGACTACTTGTCATGCTGGTAACAATGCGATATCTAAATAATGCAACTGAAAAATTTTGTGAGAATAATCAGTACAAGTTATTATCATTGCAAACCTGATACTGTTGCATGTTTAGCATTTATAAAAACATTGCAATATTTTCTGCATTTGCAGTAGTTTTTGTTGCTGGTTATCAGCTGTCTATATAAATTAGAAGATGTGGTATGAGTGCCAATGAGACAACTCTCCATCTAAGTCACAATGTATAAAAAGTTAACAATTATAGGTCAAAGTACCGCCTTCAACATGGAGCCTTGGCTCACTCCAAACAGCAAGCTATAAAGGGCCCCAAAATGACAAGTGCAAAACTATTCAAACAGGAAACCAATAATATTATTTATCAAAACACGAGAAACACCTATGAACCACACCAACAAACGACAACCACTGAACAACAGGCAATTTAACACATTTGTTTTCTTCAACATCAACCAGTGTTCATTCATCAATTTGGTATCTGCTTCTTATCAATCTAGGGTTGCCGCTCACAAGGATGCTTTAAAACCAAAAGTTCCAAGTGGTGAAGTAAAAATCCTCTCTCAGAAAATTGTATTGTCCATCATAAGTTGGTTGACCACTATGGAATTCCTGTTTTATAGATGTCAAAGGATATGTTCTAACTGTGGTAAACACAATCCCATCCAGCTTTTCCTTAACGAAGACCTATCTAAATTGGGCTTATAGAAGGGTATGCACTTACAAGATCCACACAACAAGTTGAGCGTGATCTGCTTACCCTTCCAGAGCAACTGAGATCACCCAAGTTTTTGGTGGGATTCGTGTTGCTCAGTCTTTAGTTTTCTATGTTGTGACATGTATACTGTCGTTTGTCTTTTGGTCTTTTCTTTTTTGCCATGGAGTTGTCAGTTTATTTTTCATGTCCTTTGCTGTCGCTGACCTAGGCTTTCTGTGTCCATGATGTCTTGTTGCATGGGGAAGTCTAGAACCTCATTTATTTGGAAAATCATTATATTCGTTATAAGCATTTTATCAGTACACACAGTTATGTTTACACACATTCCTTCTGTCGTCTATCTGGTTAAAAGTGATTGCCATTTGTCTTTCAACTTAAAGAGTTTGAATGTCCCTTCAGTATCTTATGTCTCTCTTTTATAATACATCACATTTAAAATTACTAGGGATGTCAAAAGATCTGAAATTTAATACACGAGTACTCGGTCATGAAATTCATGAGTACTTGAGTACTCGGATAAATCTTGAACGTCTAGTGAAAAGTTTTGATGTTTGTTGGGATGTGGTACCTTTCATAAACTTAATTATAATATGATGACAATGTCACATCGCTTGATATTTTAACAGAAGACAAACGTATTGTTGCAGAATTCAAAACTGTATGACTACAAAATATAACTTGATCCTTGGTTATGTGTATCGCTAGTCCTGTTTGGTGTCAATAGAACAATGCATAACAGACCACCTTTTCTAAAAAATAACCTATCATAATAGCAATTATTGTTTATGTGTTCATGAACCATATCAGAACATGCCAATAAAACCATCCATATGTTCATAAAGTCCGACTTGATAGACAATCTGTATCATCTGTTCCTGTGGAGTAAGTATTTTTAAATATAACGACTTATCTAGTAATTTGTCAAAAAAATTTTGAACTTCAAATTACTTATACGAAACGATATTTAATTATAAATTAAACAATAATAAAGTTTCAAATAAACATTAATTACATTAAATGTAGATCTCATACCAATCACGTTTACAAAGAAGTCTTGATTAACAAACAAAAGTAAGTTTATGGCTTGTGAGTTATTAATTCATGAAAGTGTTAATCTGTGTACAAACACCGTTACAAATGTCGCTAATCAGTTGTGTAGGGTTCACCGCAGGGCACTTTGATTTTGTTCTTGTTCAGAAATATGATCTGGGCCCGTATGCATAAAACTACTTAAGTTATGATTTGTTCTGAATGGACGGATTTTTCTACTTGTCCTATGATAAATTAGTATTACCAGGGGTTCAAATTAACATTTGGTACTGGAAGGTCCAGGACCTTTGACACTCCAAACTGAAAGGTCCACAACATAAATCCCGGGTCCTACTTTATTTGAAATATTTCATAACTCAGTAAGATTAATGTGTTTTTGGTCTTAGGTTACCTTGTTTAATTATATTTGAACTGCATGCAATATGTTGTTAAGTTTACAAATATATTGCCAGGCAACCATATAAATGTAGCACTAAACTGTCAGTGTCACTGTGGTATAACATGTATAATAATAAATGATGTAATTGTCTTACAAGTATATTATGAATTCAAATAATCTTTTTTTTTTTGGTATTGGGGAGGGTGTCACTGTGGGTGGGTGTGTTGTCTCAATTATTGGTAATTATACCATTATCTCAGAGCTTAGACTACTTCAGAATCATAGGGGGAAGTGACTTCTCTTTTTTAAACTGATAGGGAGAAGTGGTGAGATTTGAAAGAGAAGTGCTCACTCAAGGCGCTACAATGTTGGATTTTTACTATAATATAAAGGGCTATATGTATCTTTTTGTATATTGTTCAATTCATAGCCGAGTATTCAATTAAAGTAACAGTTCAAATTCATAGCTGTTTAAGTTCATCATATGTTGCACAATTATATTAGTTCCTCTCTTGATAGAAACTACCAACTAAATAAATAGCACTAATAAAGAAAGAATTTTTTTACATCAAAAAGAAAAGAAAGTGTGGAATGCTTAATTTTTCCCTTTGGGATCAATATTCTGCTATGACTTTTTTGTGCCATTCATTAATCCGTAGTCTTTATCCTTAGAATCCAGATTTCATTCATAGCTGGTCCGTTTCCCGACTCCGATCAGTAGTTTTTGACAAATATTTCAATGGCTTACGAAAAAATTTACAAAAACAATTGATGTTTGAAATGCTATATGACGTTTTTAATGCAACAAATGGATTACAAATTTACTTAAGGCAACTTTCATGACTTCTAATGGGTTAACAAACTTATTTTGCCGACAGTTAAAATGGTTTAAAGTACGCTCTCAAGGGGTATACCATGTCAATAGTAATATGGCTTTGAAATGACGATACTGATGGTTCAAAAGGTCGGCAAAGTTAATTTTTATTTTCTTTCAAATTGAAGGTCCGTCGGGCGTAGCAAGTAACCAAAATGAAAGTCCGATTGCAATAGTGGAAGGTCACGGACCTCAGACCACCGCTAATTTGAACCCCTGATTACGATTGGATTTCTTAACTTAAGTGGTTTTATGCATATCGGCCCTGACCCACAACTTCAAATGAAAGTCTGTTTCTAAGTTTTGTTACAAGTCCTGTACATAAAAAAAATCCTCTCGGAAGTAACGGACTAGGCTGGTACTGCTAAAACACGTTTTGCTTTATCATGAGACTAACGAGAATAAGTTTTAACACATAGAAGTCTCAGGATAAACTTATTTACGTACTGAATAGATATTATTTTTATTAGTATTACGAAGGATATTTCAAAGGAAACTAACATGAGGGGAAATGAAAGGAGTAATATCTCAAGATTTATAAAAGGCAAACGAGTATTCGAGTACTAAAACTGTACTTGAGTACTCGGCCTTCCGACCGAGTACTCGTTGCCATCCCTAAAAAATACCATTGAAAATTTATTATTGAATTACAGATGAGTACATGTGTGTTTGTCTTTACCTTATGCCATTTGTGTTACTATTGTCTCTTATTGTTTGACACATGTAATATTAAGATATCAGTTACCTATGGAACCTCTATTAAATCAGTTACAGACAAAATGTATCTTATTTGTCACTTTGTCTCTGGTGGAAAGTTGTCTTATTGGCAATTATACAACATTTTCTTAGAAATTTAATCAATTTTAAAAAACGAATTGCAGAGAGAACAATCTCATGTTTTTGTTGGGGTGTTTACCAGCGGTCACCATTGAAAAAAATTTCAAGGGTAGAACTTATAAAATGATAATTTGAACCATTGAAAAATGTTTATAAATTCTATACCTTTTGCAATACTTTTAAATATATATTTAGGGGCCAGCTGAAGGACACCTCCGGGAGCGGGAGTTTCTTGCTGCATTGAAGACCCATTGGTGGCCTTCGGCTGTTGTCTGCTCTATGGTCATGTTGTTGTCTCTTTGACACATTCCCCATTTCCATTCTCAATTTTATATATATATATGTAAATTAGTTTTATGACAAAATACACTAATTGTAGTCATTCAAAATTTCACTGATTGAGAAATATTTTCCAAATCATTAAAATTTAGGGTAAATGCTGAGAAAATCAAGTGTGGTGCTAAACATTCAAGGGTGGAGGAGCCCCAACCTTAAATATCTGTGGTGAACCCTGTTAATCAAGATAATGAAGGTTCAATGATACATTTAATCACAGTGTAGAACACTGATTACTTACACCTCAGACTATGTTTCCTTAGTTGAGCCTGTAACTTTTCTAAACTGTCACTGTAGGATTTTGTTAGTGCTGTAGCGTGTTCTGAAAACAACAAATTACAATATTTTTTAGAAATCTCAAAACTTTAATGGTTCATTACACATGTAATCTAAAATAAGAGTGCCTCTGAGTCCAAGCGGTATCAGTAGTTCAAAACCCTGGTCATAGCGAAACTTGTTCTGACTCTGATTTTAATAGACAAAAATTGCTAGTTGGTCTTGGTTTTCTTTGATAACTCAGGCTTCCTCAATGAAATAGATCAGATATGGAATACATTACATAGACAGCTACCCCTTGACACAAAAAACCATTTAAAAGACGACTTTCAAACTTCCACAATAGTCTACATTAAGTGTATATACAATATGTGAAGCTTGGTATAAATAAAAAAAAAAATTTTGTTGAAATAATTATTCGTTTTTATAGTGATTAAGATTATAATACAATATTGACTGCTGTACCCCAACTTTTGACAATTTTACCTATGACTATGTCTATTTGTTTTGCCAACATATTGTTGTCTGAGAATATAACAGAATTGTATGCGACTGTCATATAAGTGAGGGGTTTAGCTAGCTATTAAACCAGGTTTAATCCACAATATTCTACATAAAGACATGCCTGTATCAAGTCAGGAATATAACAGTTGTTTTCCATTCCTTTGAAGTGTTTGAACTTTTGATATTGCCATTTGTAAAGCACTTTCTGTTTAGAATTTTCCTTGGATTTCGGTATGTTTGCAATTTTATATTTTACTTTTCACTAAATTTTATTATTAAAATAATACAAAGTTCACACTGGTATAATAAACCAAAACATCATTTCATGTATGTACATCTTTTATTGAGATGTGGATCTATGGACAAAACTGCATGAATGTTCAATTAAGATTTCATATAAACTGGAGGTAAATAATAGGATCAAAGTATAAAATGTGACTTCTAATTATTGCAATTTTGATTTTTTTTGTAGTTTTTAAAATAATGATAGCATCATACAAATTTTGAATTTTCAATATTAAGAATTCTAAAATTTTGTGTTGTCTTTAGTTTTCATGCATGATATAAGTTGATAAAAGAAACCTGTGCCATATGCATTAAAACTAGTAACATATTTAGGGAAAAAAATCTTTGGGGAAATAATGAAACATCAAATAGGTTTTGAATTCACAGTATTTTGCCTCTAAAAATTGAGACTTCAGAAAAGATAAGTCATGTGCATCAAAGCTGGTATTATATGTTTACGAAACAAAAAAAGAGATGTCTAGATAAAATTTTTTATAACAATACCTTTTGGCAAACCTAACTGTTGTAGTTCATTACTCAGTGATTCACCATCCACATTATACTTGGCAGCAGAACACAAAATAAATGACAATACGGCAACACTGGCTTTTACATCTCCAGTCTCTGCCAAAAATTTTTTATATCTGACAATTATTAGGAAAATGTTGAACACAGTGACATGTCACAAATACAGTATTTTTACAAATTATCATATTTTGTTCTGCATTTTCTAGATCTCAAAGTATATACTAAAGTTCCAAACTTTTAATCTGATTTTTATAAATGTAATCTATTTATTTAAATAGTAACCATATTATAATCTAAATTTTAAAACTTTTAAATAAATAAATAAAATTAAGAATAGAAATGGGGAATATGTCAAAGAGACAACAACCCGACCAAAGAGCAGATTACAGCCGAAGGCCACCAATAGGTCTTCAACACAGCAAAAAAAATTGAGTGTACCAGGAGGCGGGCCTCAGCTGGCCCCTATAAAAAATGTGTACTAGTTCAGTGAAAATGGACGTCATACTAAACTCCAAAACATATAAATGAACTAAAATAAAAAAAACATACAAGACTAACAAAAACCAGAGACCCCTGACTTGTGACAGGTGCAAAAATGTGGCGGGGTTAAACATGTTTTGTAAGATCTCAACCCTCCCCCTATACCTCTAGCCAATGTAGAATAATGGCTACTAAACGTCCAGAGGTCAACAGCAGTATAAACTACGCAACTTCACTGAGTGGAGTATAAAAATTAATATCATTAGGATTTTAAAATAACAAGTTTAGCTGTTTGCCTTCCTGTGGGAAGATTCTAGCATACAATTTTCATTAATCCTTCATTACCAAACAGGACACTGCAGTAGATTATTTACATATGTAGCATTTTTTTTTAGAACCAGATAAATAATTGATCATGGCCTCATATATAACCTTACCAAATTTAGCATCAGCTGTTAATTTGTAGACTTTATCATACTGAAAATAAAATTTGAACTAATTTAAAATAAAATCAGGATCACTGCATATTCTAAATTAATTAAATTTCTTTTATTTAAAGCTTTAAACAAGAACATTTTGTTGTTACATTTTTTTTTTAATTTGAATTAATTTGAAAAAAAAAAATTAAATTACATCTCTGACATTACCCTATGAAAAGAGGGACAACTCTTATTTGATTTTTAAACTCTTTCAGATTCATACAAATTTAAACCAAGCTTTTTGTGTGTTTAGCCCTTTCAGGTATACATCCCATCATTTTTTTTTCATAATTCACTTTTTTGCAATTGATTACCCAACACAAATGTGGTTGCATTGCTGTAAGGAAAATGTAATGTTTTCAGTCTATACATACTGTATTGCAAAATTCAGTAGGGGCTTACAGATTATGTTTCTGAAAATGCATAAATAGAATGTGACTTAATTATGCAACTGTTTCAACCAAGTCTGGTGATTGTAAAATCAAAAATAAATGAAGCAATAACACATCTTACATCGATTCCAACATCCAGGAGATCTTTGATAACTTGTACGCAGAGTAATTTGATCTTCACCGATGTCTGTAAAATATTTTTTAAAAAATAAAAAATTATAAAATAATATGAAGATTTACAGTATGACATATTCTATCAATGCAATTTGAAGTTGCAAAACTATTTTAATCTTTTTTCATTCAGATTAAAAAAAATATATAAATCTGCAACTTTTTGAAATATAAAATTTCAAAGCACAATTGAGATATGGTAAACATTCAACTCAAATTTAAAGATCTCTATTGATCATGGTTATATATTTATAAACTCAAAACAGCCTGTCTCAGTCGTGACAAGTGTGTTTTTTAAACAAAGACAAAAAACATCAGTGTACTCCTTGGTATTTTAAAATAAAGCAATGCGATTCAAAAAAGCACTGTTTTCCTCGAATGTCATGAATATAGCATCACATTAATAATACATTCTATAACATGTTACTTTTATTAGTTTATTCCCTTAGTTTATTTATTTTGTATTGTATTTACATTGTATCATAGATCAAATTTATTTGTTCAGTGTATGTTCACTGGTGTTAATATGTCTTTTGATTGAGTTAAGCCATTTCAATTGATATTTTATAGTGTGTCTTTCTATGTTTTGATGTTACACTATTGTTTCAGATAAGGGTGAAGGTTTGGTACCATTAAAATGTTTAAACCCGCTGCAATTGTTTTCACCTGTCCTAAGTCAGGAATCTGATGTTCAGTAGTTGTCGTTTGTTGATGTGGTTCATAAGTGTTTCTCGTTTTTTATATAGATCAGACCGTTGGTTTTCCCTTTTGAATGGTTTTACACTAGTAATCTTTGGGGCCCTTAATAGCTTGCTGTTCGGTGTGAGCCAAGGCTCCGTGTTGAAGACCCTACTTTGACCTATAATGGTTTACTTTTATAAATTTTGACTTGGATGGAGAATTGTCTCATTGGCACTCATACCACATCTTCTTATATCTATAAATAGAAAAAACATATTCATATACATGTATTATAACGTTTCACCAGCCTGAGAACAATGAGGTTGTGAGTTGTAAACCATGCATATTATATAGTAGGTGTGCTTATCTCGAATCTTAATTGACAAGGATTTTCAGCTTTCCTGCAAAATGTTGCTTGTTCTCTCCAGCACTCCTGCTTCCTCCACCAATAAAAACCTGATCGCCACATACATGTAATAGGCAATAGTGCTGAAAGTGGCATTAAACACCAAACACCAATCAAACAATGATGTAGCATCACAATTAAACATTTGGGATAAGTTGTATACAAAGTAGATATTTGTTTTGGAACAAGCTAAAGAAACCCATGAATTTTGCAAAGAGTTGTTGCAAGCATTATTCAATGCACAAATCCTGAAACAGGACTTGAGATGTTAAGATAACAATATTACAAAATTAAATGTACATTGATATAAAACATGCACATTTTCAACACTACACGTTTTTACATTAAACAAGAGCACTGATCATTAGACTTAAAGATAATCAATCGTTTTTCAAATGAGAGGGTGTTTCTAGGCTATAATCTCTTTGAGATTAGACATATATATCATGTATATAGCTGAGAAACATCCTCAAGTTGGAAAACCCACTGATAATTGATCGAGATTCATGACCTCATACATTCTCTTTCTACTGGACTGAGAAAAACCCATATCTCTAGCAAACTGTTATATGCAAAATAATCGTAAAAGACAGTGGTTGATCCAGAAATTTCTGTAGAGGGGGCCCACTGACTGCCTAAGAGGGGCTCGCTCCAGTCATGCCTCAGTGATTCCCTATATAATCAACCAAATATTTTTCCCACAAAAGGGGGGCCCACTCAACCTGCCCCCCCCCCCCCCCCTCCTCCAGAATCGGCCTCTGAATGAACATCACAGCAAAAGTTAAGAAACTAGCGTTAATTAATTATCTGGAATTATCCATATATCATGTATATAAACAAATCATTTTCTACCTACCACTTTTGATAATGTACTAATTTCTGCCAGTACCCAATCAGGGCAGTCAAGATCACCACAAAACCTAAATCTCTAAAAAATAAAATAATGACAGTCAATTAAAAATTAAATAATTGAGGAGGTTATATATATAACCAATTTTTTTTCAGAATAATTGTTTTGATCCTCAATTTGTTTTTTTGGCTTCAAAAGTAAAAACATCAGAAATAGATATCAGGACATGAAATCTAAAATGTTGTTTGAGAAATTGAGATGAACTATTTCATCCCACATGTACAAGTTTACATTTGTAAAAGCCTTTCACATATATTATTAAGGCACTGGCTACAATCTGGGACTTTTATACTAACAGTTAGTATAATAGTCCTAGCTGCAATTACTTTGAAAACGTAACAATAACAAATTATTAACAGTTATTGTTAGGTTGGTCACTAATTGCCAGAATGCTAGGTTGGGTTAGGAACCGATTAATTATGAATGTAACAATACTATTTGTGTCTACGGCTATGTTGTGTTGGTGTTAAGTTAATGCATTTCAATGTATGCTGGGAATAGTAGTATAGTATGTCCCATATGTAATATTACCCCCCCCCACATTCTGTATGTCATGTATGTATGTGCTTGTCCCAAGTCAGGAGACTGCAATTCAGTGGTTGTCATTTGTGGCTATGTTACATATTTGTTTTTTGTTCATTATTTTTTACATAAATTAGGCTGTTAGTTCTCTTGTTTGAATTGTTCTACATTTGTCATTTCGGGGCCTTTTATAGCTGACTATGCTGTATGGGCTTTGCTCATTGTTGAAGGCCGTACAGTGACCTATAGTTGTTAATTTCTGTGTCATTTGGTCTCTTGTGAAGAGATGTCTCATTGGCAATCATACCACATCTTCTTTTTTATAAATACTACATGTATATCAAATACAACTTGAAAACTTTTATTCGTTAACAATTCACTGATACAATATTGCATACAGATTATATCATGTATATAATTATTTTATTCACAATAACAGCTTCTGCCCTTTCAGAATGTGCTTTTGGGTGCATGTTTTAGTCCACACATTTTTGGTGGATCCACTCTACATGCTCTAGGCAGCCATCAATTGATGACGCAAAGTGCACAACGGTTTTGCAGACTAAGCAGTTCCACTCTGCAATTTCCATTTTTGAGTTTGCTGCATAACTTGTTCATTTCTATCCGTTGTATTATCATGATTATGGGTTGTTAAATATTTTACAGGATCTCGGGAATTTAAATGGATTGAAGAGTTAATCCGAGAATACACGTGTAATTAAATTTCCAGTCACTAACCACTGTATTGATTTATGACATTCTTTTTGCACGAGTGTTTACCCAAGATTATCTCTGATCACCATGATAAACTACAGAAAATATGTTCATTGGTCTTGTCATGTGAAACCAGTGGTTCAAATTATATATTTGTTCCCACATACAAAGCAGACTTTTTATTAGCGTGATCGGGAAAATAACGGCAATATTCACAAAACATTGTCTCTGGTTTATCATCAGCAACAGCCGACCTTGCCCTGGGAATCTTTCTGTCCATGACACTATAAATATTCTTTCCCGCTTTTCCCGTTTGTATTTGGCATTCTTTGGGATGAATTTTCAGCCTCATTACCCCCTTCATCTACCGTTTTTTTTTTTTTTTGAAACTGACCAAGTTCCTGGGGTGTCCGTACTAAAACATTTCAAATATTTTGTTGCATGGTTTAGTGCTTAACAGCTGTCCGACATGACAGGTCAATATCGATCAATGCATCATACCCCCACTGGCCCAGTACCATTACCGGTAATTAAAAATCTTGGAATAAGCAATGTACAATACCCCCTGTACTGAGAAATCGATATTGAAAGTACGGGAATTGCAATCAATACATGATACCGGTCCACCCAGAGCTATTTGTTCTATTTTAAAACATGTACAAAATGAGTTTAAATTCTTGAAATCCCGGATGATGTAATTGAATCTGATTGGCTAAGATAGAATAGTGATGAGGGGATTTTCCACTTTCTATTTTGGAAACGCCATGAATTTTTTGTTACTAGTCCGTTGGGCATATTGGGTTACAAGTTTTGATTGCCTGAAGCGTAAATGCTGTAGCCCCGGGCGTCGGGCTATTGGTTTTTTTAACCCCTGTGTGCAGTTAAATACATAGACATGATAGAAGTGAACACTTTTCCTCTAAACATGGAATACTTAACTGTAATAATATCTCAAAGAACATTAAAACAGTTAATACTAATAATAATAATACACATGTATTAATAATATTATTATCAAAGAATTCAGCAATAAAACTAAATAGATATAAGAAGATGTGGTATGAGTGCCAATGAGACAACTCTCCATCCAAGTCAAAATTTATAAAAGTAAACCATTATAGGTCAAACTATGGTCTTCAACACGGAGCCTTGGCTCACACCGAACAGTAAGCTATAAAGGGCCCCAAAAATTACTAGTGTAAAACCATTCAAACGGGAAAACCAACGGTCTGTTAAAAGTTTAATAAATCTAAAGCAACTTAACCGTAGACACAAACATTATTTTTACATCCGTAATTAATCGGTTTCTAACCCAACATACATGACATGGAATTCTGGCAATTAGTGTCCAAAGTAACAATAACATATTTGTTATTTTTAGTTATGTTTTCAACATAGTAGCCATTTCAACTTCCTTTATGAATTTTTGTGTACATATATCACAGAAATTTTTCAAATTTGACACTGCAGTAGCTTTATTTACGTTTTTAATCAACAGAAGTGTACTCAATAGAATAAACATGTGCAAAATTTTGAAAACATTTCATCATGAAAAACAATGATTGCAGTTCTTACAGTGTTAACTTTCCATAAAAAGACAACTTTCAAATGATGTAGATTTATGCAATTATAGGTCACGGTACAACTCTCAACAATTAGCAAAACCAATACAGTATACTATAGTTCCCTGTAAAAAGCCACATGACAAAAGGTGAAACATGTTTACATTTATGCTAAACTGCAATTATAGGTTTTTATTGTTCTTCCCCAAAAGGACTATCTGACCACCAGCCTGTGGGATTATAGGTCTGACCCTGTGTGGATTGGATATTTTTTTTTATGAAAATGGGGTGAAATTTCGGCACTATGACCGCACAGCACAAATCTGCATAAAAATATAAGGTTACACCCCCTTTTTTGATAGATGTATTTTACGTCCATGAATGACATATTTTGCAACCGTAAAATGTTCAAGCGTCCTTATTTCTTACCATTCTTCTAAATTATCTGCTATTTGAAAAGCAAATCTAAAGCATTTTTTAACAGTTTAGGAAAGAAAACTACAGAAATTGTATCATTCACTGTTCCTTAATTGATTTTGCGTAAACCAGTCCACACCGGAATACAATATTCATGAACTGGTCCCGAACTCATCCCCTGAAAAAAATTGTCACGCATTTAGTTAAAAATTAATTATATATGCGTATTTAATAGTTGAACACATCTATTAAACGAATTAAAGAATATGAAAAACAACAAAAAAAAAAACAGATGAAAATAAGTGGATTCTAAGGATCATTATGATAAAAACCAAGAGTACCTTCTTTTCTTCTCTATTTCTTTTTATAAAATAAAGTCAAACTATTGTTAGAGATACTGACTGCATTTTCGAAATTGCAAATTTCTTTTTAAATCTTTATTTCTCTTTCTGTTGTTTAAGATTCGCATCCATTTGACGATCCCAAGTCTGGAACCTCGTCACTGGTCGTCTATAGTTGAGGGTGTGGATGGGGGTTTACAGAATGCAGAATAATGGACAAAAATATGAAGAATATAGACAAAAATGGACCAAGAAAAATAAAGAATAGAGAATAACGAGGTGCTAATATATGAGGAATATGGAATAATGGGCAAAAAGTATAAAGAATAGAGAAAAATGGCCTAAACATTTAAAGAATACAGAAATGAATGACCCCATCCAGATCCTCATAGCTATATTTCAATGTTTTGTAGTTTGATGTTGATGAAAATAAGATTGTTTTTACTTTAAATGAATTTAGATAAATTGGGGGGGGGCTCCATTCTCAAAGCGAATGTGATTGGTTACACCCGTATGAAAATTTCAACAGGAGTTCAACTGGACTCTAGCTGGACTTGAGACGTATTCCAGTCTGACTTTGAAAAGTCCAGTCTGACATGAGCCGTACACCTACTTTTTCTTATACTTGGGTTATTTGCCAGCCGGTATTTTCTTAAAAGTCCAACCGCACTTTTTGTAATGCTTACAAGAAAAATAAACACGGCTGGACTTTGAGGAAATTTATTTCTTTCTGTAGAGATGATCAGCAGGATTTTTGTCTTAGAAAATTTTACATTCATTTATGAGCAGGAATTTAGACTTAGAAAATTTTCAACAGCCAAATCTACCCTTACAGAAATAAAAAGTTTGCCACAATAGATTCTGTTCTTTCAAAGGAACAATTCTTTCAAAATGTAAAACAGTTAAAAATGAAAGTTTGCAAGTAAATAATAATAATGATAAAATATTTTTTTGCAATATACTTTTAGTTCAAACTATAAGATGTGATACTTTCCCTAGACTTTCAATTCCATTATGAAATATTTAACATAGACTGTTGATGGAAAGTTAAAATTTAATTTTGGTGACTTTTGTTTGAATTATATCCAAGTTAATATGTTTAATATACAGCAATTATTTAACATTTACTTTTTTCATAAAAAAAAAAAACACTAGCAACATCTGTTACAGGTCAAATTTATACATTTTCTAGTATATTTATATTTAATTAGATGAATGCATAAAATTAATAATTATCATTCATTCTTAAACATCAAAATGAATTAGAAACTTGAGCCATATAACAGTGATTTAATAGCAGTTAGTCTTGTAGAAATGTGCCATCTGTTTTCAATTAACCTCAGTCTGGACAGGTCACAGGAAGTACTATCTCCACAGAGATTGAGGCCATATGTGGGAGAAAACATTTCGAAATACATATTTCTGCAATTACTATCACTTTTATTAAAAATTTCACAATTAAACAAATTAATAATTGATTTTTTTTTTAATATATCACATACTCAAAATTAAAAAAAATCATGCAATTAGTCATAAGAGGAACATTTAAAACAACTCCTTAACATCACAGTTAAACAACCTCATGTATTGCAATACAACACAATTTGAATTTGGAATAAACAGGAAGATTTGTCTTCTTTCTTGAACAAAATGAGAATTTTATATCATTGGATGTAAAGCAAATGTTTGGAAGTAGTTCTTTTCACATTAAATAGAGAAGATGGATCCTTCTGACTGGCATCAATGACAATTTAGGAAGATTGCTGTTTGCATGTGTTTTGGATTGCATAATTCTGGTAAGTACAATAAATTGAATTCCACCAATTTGGTGATATTATCTGATATGCTCTTTTTATTCAACATATTAATAAAATAATTTCAATATTATAAATAGCTTAATTCTTATTTTTGAAGAGTAAAAAGAATAAAAAACCTACATCAAATATTTACATTTAAAGAGAGCACCTTTTCTACATATGAAAATATGGTTCCTGACTACAAAGGGGGTTTAAAGATAAGTAAGATTAGATTAGATTCATGCAATAATTTTCATCTTGTCTGTTATGTCACTGTCACTTCCTGTTTTGAATTGTTGTGTAAAAAAATGTATTATTATATTTTTTATTCCCTCTGTATTAACAGATTAAGGAATGGTTATTATTTGAGTTGTTTTGAAAGCTTTTTGATTTCTACACTTTAAGTGATTTTCAAAGCCAACTTTATTTTATTTTTAGCCACTTTAAAATTATTTAGGCTATATTTAATAACCACAAATTTTTAGAAGTTATCATTTAGCTTCTCAATTCCCCATTTCTTGGTTTTGCCAGTAAGACAGTACAAAAAAGGAAAAAAGAAATAACCAGTATATATGCATAATGTCATCTGTTTTTTTTCTATTTTCAGATTATAGCAAGGGATGCATGATGCAAATTAAATCAGAAGAATCAACCATCTGAAGAAAAACTGAGCAGTGGCGGATCCAGGGGGAGGGTTCCAGGGGTTGGAACCCCCCATTATTTTGACGATCAATGCATTTGAATGGGGACATATGGTTGGACCCCCTCCCCCTATCCTGAGTTAGGAACCCCCCTTTTGAAAATAGCTGGATTCACCCCTGCTGAGATCATCTTTAAAAGTCAAACCGCACTTTTTGAAGTCCAGCTGGACTTTATATATAGAGTTCAGCTGGACTTTTTAAAGTTCAGCCGGACTTTGTAAAGTCCGGCTGAACTTTATAGAGTCTATATTTTTGCCAGAAATGCCGGCTGGATTTTTTTTCAGACGTACTTTTATTAAAGTCCAGCTGGACTTTATGCACCGGACTCCTGCTAATTTAAATATTTCGAGCCGGTTTACGGCTAATTTCGCTGAAAGTCCAGCCGGGGTATCTATTATAAGCAATTCAAAGAAAAGTCCAAATGAATATTATAAGTACGGTTCTCAGTACGGCTACAGTACGGCTACTGTCCGACTGGAGTACGTGTCATGTTTTTCATACGGGTATACACAAATCCTACATCTTATATATTTTTTTACTCAGTCAGTCTTGGAACTTAAGTCAGTCAGGCAACTATGTATACTCAATGACGTGTTTGCAATTCTCAAGTTAGAAGTATCTGGTCGTAAATGACTTGACAACTTTCTTGAACAACATCTTACTATCTTCACTCATTTTATGAATGTTGGGAGATGTAGCTATAACCGCGAATTAATTGTTTAAAAACGGCACCTTTAGAATGCACTTGCAAACGGCATTATATACGTATAAGTTTTTAACCTTTGAGGGTCTGCATGGATGGGGTACTTGATTTCTGTATTCTTTAAATTTCTAAGGCATTTTCTTTATCTTTGAAAATAATACATATTCTGTAAAACTGTCATGAACATGATTTTCCTAGTAAATCTTTCCGTAATTAAATGAATTCTTTATTCCGAGTGTACATCGTTCATTTCTGTAATAAGTATTTTATTACGTAACCGTATTCTTTTATTTACCATAGTTATTCTTTATACTTTTGTACTTCATTTTTCTCTCTATTTTTTATATTTTCTGCTCACTTTTCTTTATTCTTTTTTTTAACTATTTTTCTCTGTTCTCTGTAAACCCCACCCAGACCCTCATCTATTGCTATATTATGTTACTATCCTTGTCTAACTAACAAAATATTTTGGTATTTAGTAAGCAAGTTTGAAGGAGAAAAAACATAAGGATGAGAAAAAAAAATGTATTTTCTATTTAACTATTTAAGACATATATATTTAACCATCGGTCACGGAAAAGAAAGAAAGACTGATGATATGAACTTTCTATAACTTCTGAAGACCAAACAATTTGAAGTATTGCCGCATATAAACACCTTTTCCTGCAAAGGGATTGACTTTGTATAGTTATCCATTATGTATTCATCATTGAAAAGAATTAAGCCCCTTAAAGGGCTAAATGGGACAGCATCATTAGGCATTGAATCTAACCTAAAGATGACCAGTGCCTTTTATATTTATAGCTTACTATTATACGTATGAGGGTCTGGATCGGGTTTATAGATTAGAAAATGGCTAGTTAAATAAATAATGGTAAGAGAAAAATGAGCAAAAACTATAAAGAATAGAGAATAATAGGGTGCAAAAGTATAAAGATTAACAGCGGAAAATAAATCAATTAAGCAGTAATAAAATACTGATTATAGAAATGAACAATGTACAGAATAAAGAAATCATCTAATTAAAAAAAAAACATTTCATTAGTAAAATCATTTACATGAAAGTTTTAAAGATAAACATTATCTTTAAAAATAAAGAAAAATGCCCTTAAAATTTAAAGAATACAGAAATCAAGGACCCCATCCATACCCTCACGTATTGGGTTGCTCATTGTTGAGGCCCCTCATGGGGGTGTCCAAATAATCAATGTTTTGCCAATATAATCACATAATCATTATTTTTTTTTAGACAAGATAATCAAATAATCAAAAATACAGTCCTAGTTATGAATTCAAATAATCATGAAATATTTTGTCTGGTAATCAAATAATCACTATAAAAACGACCAAGTAATCACATAATCAAAAACCCCATGAGGAGGCTCAATGTTGAATGTCGTACTGTACTCTATAGTTGCTTACGTCGTCGTCCTTTGATCTCTGATGGATAGTTGTCTTATTGGCAATCATACCACATCTCCTTAATGCAATCATACCACATCTCCTTAATGCAATCATACCACATCTCCTTAATGCGTGAACCCCTGAGGGTTCACGCATATTTATTAGTTAGAAATATGGTCTATGGAGGAATATTCGGAACCCTAATTA